CCTATCTGATAGTCAAAGGTCTGTCATTATTTAGATTAAAACACTCAAAACTGCATTGGTATGTCAGTCTGTGTGAAAAAAGGTGGATTTGTTCAATTCGCCATCTCAATGATATAGAAAATTATTTTCCTTTCACTGGGAACCACACAATATGGTGTTTTGTAAAATAAAAACAGAAACAAAGGTAGCTATATACGTCCGAAACATTCAGGCAGTTGATTGGACAAGGCATGGGACATGAGGAAAAAAGTCCTTCATCCATAAACCTTTGGCTTGGAGCGTTTATTTTTCCTTCTTGTGCTATTTGGCAAACAATTTATTTGACATTTTGCATCGAAACCTGTCACCTCAAAGTATGTAGATACAGTGTTATGACTGTTATTTTTAAGTTTTGTATACGTGTTACCAGAAAAAATTTGATACAGTGGTGAGCTAAAAACGAACTAACTAACTAACTAACTAATAGGGAGCATGAGAAGACCCTAATGTCAGTACTCCCAGTGTGTGGCGGGGAAACTGCCCAGACTGCTTCCTGATTAGTTTAGTGGACCACACGACGAGGTGGTGGTGATCTGCCACTGTGTGTGAGTATATGAACACGTGTATGCATGTGTGTACTTGTGTATGTGCATGTGTGTGTGTTTTTAAGGAGGGGGGGATTTGACTGTGGCCGTCGTGGTTCCAGACCATGTAATTACTCCCACTTAGCATGGAGAAAAAAATAACAATTTCAGTCATAACACAGTAGGGAAATTATGGTCGGGAAGCCACTGGCTATGGTCTATACTCTGTCTATATATTTCAATATGCACAGGTTGTTCTCCAAGTAGACACATTCAGGACAATTATCAATTTCCCCAAAATACTCTGGGTGCACTTCCAGCAGCTCCTCCATCGACGGATCCAAGTGAGTCAGCATTTCCAGCGAAGCCGAATGAATAACAGTAATCTGCCTCGTCCTAATGCACATTCACAGGAGCACGGCACAACTCACTCTATAGTTAAGAGGTTAATCAGTGAATTAACCTCACTGAAACAAACTAATTCACACACATTGTGCGTGACACCAAAAGCACATCTGATGTCTTGTGAGGAGTTGGCCTCTGCGCTTTGTTCTCTCTGCTCCTTTTCTTCTCTCTCTGAGAAACACCTTGAAATCTTCAGCTGAGTGACAGTTATAAACACAGGCTAGAGCTGGTATTTGTTTTCTTGTGGGCAGCTCCCAGCCACAAGAATACTAGATTCATCACGCCAGAGCAAATTTAAGATTGGTGATGACAATGCATGAGAGGACCTCGGTGAGTAGATACTGTTCGTGTATGAGCGTGCAGAACAGTCAGTGAGTCACTGGAGAGAGAGACCACAATGCAAATGGAGAGAGACCATAATGTATCTGTGGGGAGTTTGATAAGGCTTTTGATCAAAATCAATGACTCCGTGATTACTTCACTGTGTTCTAAGATTTAATTTTCAATGTCTGACTCATACTCTTTCCTGCCCAGTGGAAGTTTCAGCACACTCTCAAACCCTGTAAGGCACTGTGAGACATGTGGATGAGGATGCTATACATTGTCATTTTACTGATAATTGACATTAGTGCTATAAAGATATGTTATACTGAAATGCTTTAAACTGCATTTATCAATATTTTTTACATTAAAGCAATATCATGTAGTATGTTTATCTTAGCCCTATGATGGACTGGCGACCTGTCCAGGGTGTACCCCGCCTCTCGCCTAATGTCAGCTGGGATTAGCTCAAGCCCCCTCCGCGACCCTGTACGCAGGATAAGCGGTTGACGATGGATGGATGGATGGATGGATGGATGTTTATCTTAAAATAACAGCTTCAAAATCATTGCGATGCAGAGCTCTCAAGCCTCACGCATTCACCGTGAGACACACGCATATCAGCCAGTTCACACTCTCACACGCCACACCTTGTATTTCTCACTCTGAGAAGTAAGTTATGAGATAACGCCCTCGAAGTTGTCCCGCTATATTCAATTAATGGACGATAATTTTTGTGCCAAGTTCATAGTTTTCTCTGTAGCCTACTAAATGCCAGAGCCGTTAAGCCGGTCAGGAATTAAAATGTGTTGTTTCCGGGTAAACTCCGTGATCCCGCTGCAAGCACGTTCGTTACCAGGCAACATAGATGCACTTGCACACAGGGAGTGGAAGTTGAAGTGCAAGATCCGATGAATGCGGTAACTGCAGGTTTGTTTTTGTTTTAGCATTTTGATTTTATGATTCCTGGATGAAATAACCCGCCCGCGACCCTGTACACAGGATAAGCGGTTGACGATGGATGGATGGATGGATGAAATCACTTGCCTGAGATCAAAGATGTTGCAGCTGATGTTGGGGAGTGTAGCCAAATTCATGCTAAATGATCATTGATGCAGTCAAAAACTCTCCAACCTCTTTGCAACCAGAAGCTTTGGCTTTTTTAGCCAGGGATGAGCAAAGTAATTTAGGCAAAAATAAATAAAAGTACTAATACCTCATTGTAAAAATACTCTTGAAAATGTTAAGTGAAAGTATGTAAGTGGGCTATAAGCAGGAAAATGTAGAAGTAGGCTAGCCAATTAAAAATAAAAGCACTACTACTACACAAAGCAGAAAGAAAAATGTCCCATATGACTGTACCTGTTATATATTATATCATTAGATTATTATTCCTCATGAATTAGTTGGTTGAGGTACTACAAATTTGTATCAAACTGCAATTAAAGATTATTTTATTATGTATGAATTATATTATATTTTTGAAATATAAATATATATATTTAAATAGTCTTTTATCAGATTTACCTACTGTTATAATTTCTTTCTTGTTCGGGTCAATTACGAACTATAGGTATAATTTGACTGCTAGTAAATACTTGGCTGGGGCCGAGGGGCCGCAGCTGCAAATATTTGAGTGGCTCCTCTAACACGCGTTATCTCACTCCAAACATTTGATAAAACTTGAGAGCCCCGCTGATGGTACACCAGGGTTAATGGCATCTCTTATTATTATTATTATTATTAGAGTGAGTGAGCCAAACACCAGACAAGAGTAAATATCGGACTGGCTTTTACTCGTTGGCGTGAGCTAAAGAGCTGAAAGGATGCAGGACAGACGCTGAGATGGCCTTTTTGCTGTTGAACTACAGCATTAAGTAATAACTTGGCTGGCTTGCTGTGTCTTGTGTTGTTGCACTTGCTTGATGTTTGTTAGCAAAGTTGTTGACTTGAGCTAAATCAGCCACAGTCAGAGGTTTAGCTGCTAGCTATAAATGTCGAATTGATGTCAGCAAACTTACTAGATAACACACTCAGACATCGGTAAAGTTACTGTAAGTGCTCTTGCGGTGGTTGCTGTCTAGCTTGGTTGGCTAGCTTGCCACTGTTTTCAGAGAAAAAACTGATAAACCCACTGTGTACTACATGCTTAGCACCAAAGAGCTGACAGACACAGTTAGTGACTAGCTGGCAAACATATTGGAGCATTTAGCGGCTAAAGAACCAGATAGTTTTCTCAAAAGTTTGATGAGACTAAAAACAGAGCTAAAAGGAGAGTAGATATTGGCTGACATTTAGAAACATGACTGCAATTGAATGCTAATGGTGCTCTGTGCCTGATGGATGTAAAAATAAACTGTTTGCTAACACGTTAGCTGTATCGACTTTATAATCTAATAATATGTCTATGTTGTGTTTTCAGCTTGTTGTTAAAACATTTAGTTAAAACAGGTTTAAATGTAAAATGTATCCTTAAGGTGATCTTATCTTATAATAAGTACAAATGTTTGTACCCTCAGAATTATTTTTTCATAGTTTTCTACAAATTTGTATTTGCCTCAAAAAATGAAAACTGTCATGATGCAAGGTTGCCCTGTGGAGTTTTCTTGCAAACAATCAAACAATAAAATGTTGTGAACATTGCTCTATAGCGCTACTAGTCGTCAAGCTGTGTATACATTTTTTTAAGTTAACATTATGTAAAATTATTTTGGTTAATGTAAACCAAAGGTAAAAGGATAATGATTATGGTGGTGGAAAGGTTTTCCTCAAGACACTGATAAGTAAGCAAGTTTATCATAAAAATTACTCAATTAGGAAAGTGTTTGGTTAAGACCATGTGACCATAGATTTTTTCTATAAATATTCATATTTGTAATAAACACTGATTTTGTAGAGAGCAAAAGCTACAAGACAGTGGGGATAGAGCACCTGGCGTTGCAGTACTTTTAATAAGACTGAGATTTCATTCTGGTCTTTTACAATAAAAACAAACTTCTGCTTTGACTGATAGATTGTGAAAATTGTATCCGACTTATCCGCATTGGAGACAACCGCTGACAGGAGGCTTTAAAAGGCATCTTTCAGCTGCAAATTATTTTTGAATCATTACAGTGAGCACACAGTTTACATTCATAACACATACACTCCTGACAAAGAGGAGCGGTCTCCTACAGTCAGTCTGCCAGGGCTGAAAGATTGCCCGGGGAGGCAGGAGTGCTGGGGAGGCGAGAGAGCCAGAGAGCTGCACAGAGAGGAGTAACAACAGTGTCTTGAGCAGGAAGGTCTCTTTTCCCATTTTCACTCCCCACACCTTCTCGGTCTCCAGCAAAATCCCTCTGACCCTCCTCTCTCTCTCGAGCACACGTACCTCCCTCCCTGGCAACGTTTTGAGCCTGATACGACCACAGTTTAGATAAGCATTCCTCCACAATGAGAAGCCAGAAATGCCCCCCCCACCCCCCTTTTTTTTTTTGGTCTTCAAAAACAAAGCCCAAGCAATGCCTTTGGTTTCTGGGTTCTGATGGGAGCTGTGAGTTTGTTTTCAATTTAGAATTATCCCAGGAACACACAGGTTTCTGTCCAAAAATAGGCAGCACAGAGAGTGGATGAGGAGGGGAAAGAGAAGGGCGGCAGGGGGAGGAGGAGAAGAAGAAGAGGAGGGAAAGAAGAAGGGAGGGGAGTTTGGTTAATGAGCACCAGATGCCTTACCTTCGGTGGTAGCCACATTCTTAGGAGCTTTAGTTGGTGTGTGATCTGTGCTCGAACTTATGTCAGAAGAGATGCTTGAGCTCCCTTTACCTGCAGGCAAAATGGGAAGAAAAACAAAACTGCTGGGACACAGTATAGCAACTGTCAGATGACAAACCGCAGCTACGATTTATTGGTTTTACCCTACAACCTTTTGAAAATCAATCTTTTCATTTGAGAGAAAACACTTTCTAGGCTTAAATCCTAAAGAGTGTCTGTCAGAGATAAGGTGGAATTGCGCTTTGATGATGTATTTAAGATGTTAAGGAGGTATGAAGTGTAAGGAAATATAAAGTCCATCACTCTCTGCTTTCATGACTTTTATGTTCCTCAAGTTTGGATGAATGGTTGGCCTTGGCGCACGCACAAAGTCTCTGCGGGTTTGTTTGACTAAGTGTCCATTTTTGATATTTGGAAGAAGAATAAAGCCTACTGAAATCCCCTGCAGCCTTAGCTTCGACGGAGGACGAGCGAGGAAACACTCCTGCGCGAGATACAAGCAATCACTCTCTTTAATGAATGATTACAATAAAATGGAGCATCAGCGGCATACTTCTTAGATCACACAGTCTGCACAACTGCTACATGAAAGAGCTTTTTATTAAGTTTACATGAATTTACAATGCTTACTTTATGAGCTATCGTTGTATTATTAGATTTAGGATTTGGATTTCTATATACACATGAGAGCTAAATTTCAAAGAGATATTCTTTGAATGTGGGCCTCTGCTGCTGGAGGACGACTGCCATGCTGACTGCAGGCTGCCTGTGGAGTAGTTGTTTATGGCATTTCATTCCTCTGTCAGATCATAAATGCAGCTTTGTGGCTTTCCTGAGACTAAGTATGCGCCTTTCACCCAGCAGGACAGACCGAAGAGGTATTCCCAAACAGTCGCAGCCACATGCACATCAAGTGCAGCCTCCTAAACAGACTGGACAGTTCCCGAAATAAGTAGTAAATATGAAAGCTTGTGTAGGGAGAAAAAAATGCAACCTGCCATTCCATACTCGGTCGCACGAAAGACACATGATGACTGGATACGTATACAATTATTTAAACCAATGCAGCTCATATGGTCTTACTGTGGATGACATTTTGCAGTGACATCACTGAAGCGGCACATCTGCTATGGCTTCCTTAGTCCCAAGAAATGACTCAGAAATTATGAGGAGCTTGCAGATGTCAACATGAGACCATTTTTTCTAATATTTAAGCAGAGCAGAAAGCATGAGACTGGGTAAACACAGAAAATATATTTTAATATTTAGCTGGTTACAGCATTCTTTTCCTCAGCATGAGGAACTCTGCAGGGCTGTTTGTTTGACGCATGTGGATCTGTGCAAGGCCGATTGTTTTCTGTCTTTCATGGAAAAACAACTTTCTGAAAAGCTCCTGCTTCCTCTCTTGTGCTTATATAATGTGTTGGTGGGGAGTTGCTGCATAGTTGTGACCAGTGTGTAATTAATCGTGGAGTCACACTTGAAAACAGATGTGGGCAGACAGACTGCAGGATTCTGCACTTGTAGTTGAGATACCGGTCTTAGACACTATCAAGATGATGATACCACAAATACTATGCATCACCTTCTTTTGTGAAATGACAGTATGTTGAATCAATGTATAATAATGTGAATATTAAAGTTAAAATACTTCAAATTTGAAACGCATGAGTCAATCCCAGATTTGATACTTTTAATGATCTCTATTTTCTCAGCAATAGCAATTCAGTACAGAATTTACATTCTGTCTGCCCTCACTGTATCATAGAACAACTTGTTCATGTTGCACACTACTACTGCGTGCAACATGAAATGTGTTTAAATGAAAACGAATTATTGACTGACTTGTTTATCAATACAACTAAAAGTACAATGATTAGTCGATAAACTGATCGACATAAAATTCCTCAGCAACTATTTTGGTAATCGATTAATCGTTTTGTGCCTTTTTTAAGAAAAAATATGCCAATATTCTCTTGTTTTAGCTTCTCTTATGTCAATATTTACTGGTTTCATTAGTCTTCTACGAATGTAGAATTAATCTCTTTGGGGTTTTGACTGCTGGTCAGACAAAAGAAGACATCTCAATATGCCACCATGCCTTCTGGTTGATGTTTTTCACTAGTTTCTGACATTTTATAGAACAAACTATTAATCATTTGATACTTAAAAAGTTAGTTGCAGCCCTAAAAACAACCCAAGTTTATTTCACTGCACTGTTTTCAGTTCACCACGCAGCCAACTAACTTGTACAATAACTTTAAGGTTTAAGCAATGTTTTTTTTTGATAGAGATAAACACTTCAGATAACTGGCTAACATATTTGAGATATATTGTGATAATTAAATATTCTCAGAAAATGCGTATTGACCGTTATGAACCCCTTTAAAATCCCATCATTTTACAATTGAAGTATTACTTTTATCTGCGCAATTATTCATAAGAAACTGTCTCACATCACTTTTAGTTACTTATCATGTTATAGGCTTGTTCTAAAATGTTTTCACATATCCCTGCACTTAAAACAGAAACCAGAAACAGAGGCTGCATTACTGCTGAATCATAAAAGGGATGTTTTCAGCTTCAGTCCTTGAGAGCATAGAAAAGATAACAGTTTTAATTGGGGAACTAAAACATCGTCTGCAATAAACACATGTGAATGTTTGCACTAGTATTTATACTGAGTTTGGAGTGTAATGCCTGTGTTTCATGTTGTACAGCAAAAAGGCAGAATCTTGGCAAGTGCCAACCATCAGATATTGTAATGGTGAAGGTGACTTGTGAAACAAGAATCCAATCTGCATAGCCTACATCATATTTTCCCCACCTGACTAATGACTGTTCACCTGAGGGTAAACAAAAAAAGGCTGGTATGTTTCAAAATAAGCTCAAGGAGGACTCAGATCTGTGATAGAATCAGTTCATGTACCTTAACAGGCTGGATTCCTAGGTGGAGCTGATCCACTTGTTATTTTTAACATCATGAGTTCCAATCTTTTCTCTGCAGTTATTGACTTAGGAAGAGAGCACACTGGAATGTTATTTATACAAACATTACTGCTCTGGAGACAGAAATAAGTAAGTGTAAGGTAAAGCTGGACCACAGTTTTTTTTGAATATGTAATGTTTTAGGAGGATTAGGTGAAAAAGACAGTGGGTGGGAGAGAAGGTATGGGCTACTAGGCTAATATTCTTCGTACTAACTGTCTAAGCTTGCCTATGGCAATGGAGGCGTCTGTCATGCTGAGCTGATAATCCAGGCTCATTAATGCAATGGCTGGAGATTTTATCATTGTGATATGAGAGTCGGCAGATATGGATTTTGATTATTATAATATCAATATCTAATGTTTTCTTTCTGGATTTAAGCTGCATTCCAGTTGGGTGAAACAATTTTCTGAATATATCTAATAGCTGAGAGATGGACAGGGAATGTCTCTGCCTGCTTGGCCATCAGCTCTGATGACTAATTACTTTTGTTTGACTTATAGACCAATATTGTCCCCATTATTGCTATTGAGCTAGAGTGCCAAATTTTTTTCAATATTGCTTATGTTTAGTTGTTTTCTCTAATAACATGCATTACAATCAGAATCTCTGCTGTGCAAGTCTAGTCCATCATTTAGTCCAGTCCACATTTAACAATCAGCCGCAGGAGAGCTAATTAAAATAAAGAAAATACTAACATGCCTATTATTTAATAACTATTAGACTTCCACTACAAGAAACCATCTAAGGAGGAGCTGTTTAGATAAAAGCTCTTTCACTTGTCAGCATGGCATTTTTCATTAACACAGCTATTTTGTGTCTTTCCAAGGTGTCTACTGCATGATCAGGATCATATGGCATTGACCAATATCCACAAAATGGCTGCCAAATCAAACAACAATAGGTTATGGGACTGTGGACAAGAAAATCTGTGGACTTGCCCACAGGTCCTTGACCCACGTCCAATAAACCTGCAGGAATACACTTTTTGAAAGAATCTGCCATAAATTAGGCTACTCGGTGTTGTCTGATGAACTCATTGCCCTGCCAAGTCAGCTGTTGGACTGTGTGACGTGGGATTCTAACTTATGGCATTAGGCTACTTGTCTAAAGCATAACCTTTACTATATTAAACACAAAGGGCTGATACTTGCATGTCAAATACGTCCTATGCAAGGACATGCTGTCACCTACAATTGAATTATAGTAAAATGCCTTAAAATGAAGCCACATAGAGAATACAAGTTCATTTTCTGGGGGGGAAATGTAGAGAAGTGGCTGGACTGAAAGCAGCTGGAGGTCCTTTTGTTTAAACTTGAGGTTAGCCTATACTCTACAGTTAGAAACAGTTCATTTTAAAATGTTTAAAATACGACCAGCAGATGTCACTCTCTACCTTATATGAAAAATATAAACGTATTAAAAGTCATATTTTGCTTTCAGCTCCATATCAGCACATACGCAAAAAAATTTAAGATTTGACAGAGTATGGTGTAAATTCAACTCTACCCGCAGAGAGAAAACTCTTTAACTGTAAGAAAATAAAAGACACAGAGGGAAAAGTGCTCGTTTTAAGCTAGCTCTCTAATTTTCAGACAAACCCAAGGAAGCTATAAAGTCAAGAAACTGCTGCATTGTTTTCTGTTTGTAGTTGAGTTGGACACAAATTAGAAACAGTCGCAATTAACGGTAACATGGTAGCCTTGGAGAAGTCTCGTTTGTTTTTTTTAAATAAAAAGGCTTCCTTCAAAGTCGAATTCAAATAAAACGTTTTAAAAGTCGTAATCACAGCACTTACCCTCGCTTCCATACAGTTTTCCATTGTTCGCACCCATTTTAGAGAATACATAATCTATGCACAAAACCCGGTTTATCAATAGGAGTTAAATTCCAGAGAAAATGGCAATCTTTCCATAAAGATAGGCTGGACAGTCAGAGTTTCGTGTAGGGCCCGCTAGCTCTGACTCCAAATAGTTAATCCAGATGTTGAACAGAGGACGCCTCAGCATTACGCAAACCTAGAATCCGGATTTGAGCTTCCAGCGTTGCAGACTTTCTATATGTGAACATCCACAGACACAGGACGTTAGAAACAACACGCGCACACAGACACACAAACGGGGGAAAAAATGCCGATTCGAGGAGCTGGGAGAAAACTTCAGTGAAGTGCCCTTAATGGTAAGCAGCTGTTTATCAGACTGAGTGCGGGCAATCACAGCGGCCAGACAACTTGGTGAGGACGCGCAGCCCTCGTCCACTGGAGTCGGATTTAAAGAGACCGCAGGCCAGAGAGGGAGATGTGGAGATTTCAAAAAGCACAAGCCAAAGACAGGCCGAGACTGTGGCTCAGAAATCATAACTTATGACGATACTTCATTGCCTTCACACTGCAAATGCTTTGAAAAGAAGACGACCTGTTGCATAAGTTTAACTTTAGTTGTTGGATAAACGAATCATAGTTTGTTGCTCTAAGCCAGTGGTGGAATAACTACATTTACTCTATACTTCCCCTCCACTACATTTGGTTGCCAACATTGGTTACTTTGCAGATTATTATTACAAAATATAAATCAACCAACACATGATGGTTATTAGAGGATTAAGTTAGCCAGCATAATATAAAGTAGTCAAATAAACTCCACCTTTACCAGCTGCAACATTATATGCTTACACATAAATGCATCACTACTTATAATCCTGTGATTCGTCTGAAATGGGCCATTCTGCATAAGGAGTAATGTTGTTACATTAAGAATATTGCATGACTTTTATTAGTTATATTACTTGACTGGGGCACTGCTACTTTTACTTAAGTGAAAGATCTTAAATACTACCACCACTGCTCTAAAGTGATGAAATGGAAGCAGTCACAAACCCATCAAGTTATTTTTCCGTTATATACCTCATAAATATTGAAGTATGTCATCACAGGTGTGACTTTTAGAGATTCACACTCAACCAATCAGGCACTGAGGACACATAATCTCCTAAATATTTGAGGATATAAACCTAGTGAAAGAAGAACCACACATGTCAGAATGTTTCTATGAATAGCAGTCATACAGGTCATTGGATATCTAGAAGTAAAGGCACTGGACAAAACCAGTTGTCTACCGTTGACATGTGACTTAATATTCTAGATACATGTTGAAATTCCCTTTTGAAAGGCACAGCCTAGATATATTCCAAGAATAACGTGGTATTTTTTTTTCTATACTAATGAGGACACGGGTTTGTATAACACCATTGGTTTTATCTCAAATCTATAAATCACAAAGGGTCAAGGGTGACTTTTCTTTAGATGTGCAGCTAATTTTGCACAATGGAGCTTTATGTAGCCACATTTTCTCTGCATTACATGGGAAAATACATCTAATAGTACATGTACAGATAACTCTTATGCTATATTGGCTGTCCTTGTACACAGGAAAAGCACTATTATAAGAGATTTTAGACTGGAGTTTAACCTTAGTTACTATACACCTTATATTATGGGGTTATTTTAAGTGCAACACTCATTACAGTAAGATATATATATTACAGGAGGAGTATTTTCACATTTTGGTCTTTACATAGTTATTTCTCTCATTTATAGCACTTGTACTATTACTTGTATACATACATACACACACTTTGTTTTTACTTTGGCTAAGAGTAACTGGCGATTGGAGAGTCTGCTGTGAAACAAGAGCATGTGAAGTTGGGTGTGTACCATCTTGTCGTGTTGATGTTAAATTAAAGACTATTCAAAATTATTTATGCATCCAGCAGAGCCATTTCATATTTGAATGTGGTGTGTTGATCTCTACTTTTCCCCACCCTTACGAGCCACCAGGAATGAGTCATGCACTTCAACAATGTTTGATTGGCTCACATGGTACCAATCAACCTTTACAGCCAGCAATCTCTGCCACACTGGAATGCATAGTAAGAAGTACTTGAGCTTTCGGCAGAAGATGGATGTGTTCATACAAACTGAACAACTCAAACTGCTGCAGATCTAGAATCTCTAGCTGACAGCCAGAAAATGACCAACTACAAGTAGTCACAAGTGGCATGTCTCATGGCAACCCTGATAGTATGGTGCGACTAAAATAGTTGCTTTACCAAAACATTTATTTAATTAAACACATTTTTAAGAGGCTTAAACATGTAAAGCACACACAGTTTCAGATCAGCTCTGACAGGTGGCCATTATTGGTCGTCCAATGTGAAAACATTGGAACAGGATTGAATGGGTAAAGGTTGACAGGAGGACTTGTATTTATTTCAGGAAGAAGCTCAGATTTGGAAACCGACATGGCATAGCAGGCGGAACTAGGCTGAACACTGAAAGTGTCCTCTGGCACAGCTGCACTCTGGGAGAATGTGGTTAAGGCGCTGTTGGGGTCTGCCACAGTGCCGCTTAAGGGAGCATAGTGGTCATTTTCAGCCTTTGAGGTGGCCAGGCGGCTGGGAGAAAGTGGGGCAGAGGTGATCTCCTCTAGCTTGCTGTATAACATCCTCAAGGTCACAGGAATGGACGTGCACCTGAGACACAGACATTTAATATAATAATAGATAAGGTGGAGGAATGCAAAGATGACAGGGTTTCCACACTCTAGACAAATATTCTTTCAATGTCCATTTTATACTGCTGCTATATCAAAATCAATCTGATTTTCCTCATATTGCAAGATGTTGATCCTACTAAGAGGGGAGGCATAGACCCCATCATCCTCCTGCATCCTCTTAAATTGTAAAGAAAGGAGGGCTAGATAAATGTCAGAGCCATACCTCTTCATGATAGTGGAAAGGTTTTCATCCATAGAGTGATCCTCTATTCCTGCTCCAAACAAAGTGCAGGTAATCTGATGAGCGTCAGATATATTCACCACCACTGTGAGAAAAAAAATAAGTGATTCTGTGTTATTTACCATTACCTTAAACGTAGGCCAACATATACACACACTGTGGGCTGAAAAAATATAATCCAAAACCAATCACATAAAGGCCGTTGATTCTAAGAAGTTTCTTCCCCTGATGTTGAAGCTTTCAGACAGTGATATTTACTCTAGTGACTCAAATTTCATATATATATATATATATATATATATATATATATATATATATATATATATATATATATATATATATATATATATATATATATATATATATATATATATATATATATATATATACATACATACACACACACACACTGTGGCAAATGCTCACAAACAGCGAGGGTGTCCGTGTCCGGTCGGTGGAAGGTCACAGAGAAGCTGGTCTCTGACTCCGGAAGGACTTCCAAGTGCTGGTCACACACTGAACCTGGTAGCAGAAAACACCACATCACATAACTGACTAAAGAAATTTCTTGATTTTTTTTCCCCTGCCTGCTTCATGACTTTGTCCATTTCAACAAATTGTGTGATGTAAAAGTACTCCTACTTGTTCTGGCACACTGAGAGGTCATACAGCTCCTCAGCAGGGTGTTGATGGTACACTGGTGTCGAAGCAGCTGCAGCAGGGCTGGGACATGGGCAGGGTGGGTGAAGGGAATACTGTCCATGACAGTCGCTCTGTGGGCAGGCACCTCCCATGCTGCTCCAGGGAGAACATAACTGTGCATCACACCACCAGGAAGAGGCTGGACAGAAGTAGTATTCATTCCTTTTCGTATCATATAGTACACCCAATGTAATTTAACCCTCATAAGTTATCTTTGAAATGAATTACCATTTGCATTGTGCTTAACACGTGCACAAGCAAAAAACACACATACCACTGTAAAAATAGCATCCTGCTGATTTAATGTCTCCCTGTGGCTGTTAGCACTCGGTAAATGTCTCATCAGAAGCTTGGGTAAGGGTGCCCACTGCAGGTCAACATCTGGTATGGTCACATCTATGAAACATCAGAGGGAGAATGTGAGAGCAAGTAATGGGGTGATGCTTGTGGGTGTTTTTAGGTTAAATAGAGAATTTCTTCAATCTTTACATCACATGTAAAAATAAAATACTAGAATTGTGCCAACAAGTGAAGCTTATTAAAGAAAAAAGGTATAAAGTGTTTTTGCTAAAGCAATCACTAAATGATACATGAGTCCAGTGAATATACATTGAACTGATTGAAGGATTATCATAGATGTCTTAGCTTAACAGGTACTTGATACTATGTAAAGATGGATTCTTGAGTATATTGTTTCACAAAATGCGGTGCAATTTTCCCCTGGTGTTTACAGATGTGAAGCCTCTATGAGCTGTTGGGGAAACTTACTCACAGGATCACGATAACACTCAAAGTTTAGAATTAGGCAGTAAGTGAAAGGCAGAATGGACGAGATGGAGAAAACTCCTGCTCTGCTAGTAACGGTTTACTCATTGTGTCGTCCAAGCAACATGTGTCAAATGCATTCTTAAATTATGACTAAGCACCATAATCTATTTTCACCAATCTAAACTTTTGAGTTTGCAATAACCTTGAGTCAAAAGTGCCTCCTATTCAGTGTCCAACCTATGTTCCTGAATTATTTTAGTAATTTCATGACCCGAAAAAGGTTTTTTCCATGACATTATGCGACAGTGAAGTTTACCTTTGAGCATCTGGGTAAATGTATCGCTTTGTTGTATCCCATTAAACATCCGTGTGAACTCGTCTCATAATTACTGCATCAGTTCTTGAGTTATTGCCAAAAGTATGTATTAAAAAAGTATTGAGAGGACAGTGACCTTTGACCATCAAATTCTAATCAGCTCATCCTTGTGTCCAAGTGGTTGTTTGTGCCAAATTTGAAGAAATTCCCTCAAGGCGTTCCTGAGGTGAATGGGACGCGAAAACAACCCAACACATTTTGCCCCCGGCCATGGCTATTACCAGGAAAAAAACAGAAACATACATTTCATAGATTTGTGAAAAATGCCTGACCTGTAATTTGGCTGAGCTTGTTTACGAAAGCGAGAGTCATTGGTATCTCTGGCTGCAGTTTCATAAGAAAGCAGGCAGCAGACGTCTCATACAGCCCCTCACCCAACGGCAGGAACACAGGATATCTGCCACAGGATGCAATGTCACTGTATTAACACCACAGGTGCTGACATCCCACATTCACTGTGGGATGTAAAATTGAAGTATCCTGCTGAGTGAGAGATTAAATCATGTTACCCCTGGGCATCCAGCTGTGGAGGCTGTGGGATCACAGATGCCATCTGAAGCTTGTGAGTCACATCGCTGACACCTACAGTCACCTGGGCTGCCTGGACGACTGTCTCCCTCATATTTTCTTTCAGGGAAAAAAAATAATAAATAAAAAAAAAAGTTAAGGCCCTTTAACAGACTTTACATGCCTATATGAATGTGCTGCATGCATTTAAAATATTTAACAGGTCTACTGGCAAACTACTTTAAGTTTACCGACAAATCTGAAGTCGTTTGGCAACTTTGACATCTTACGTCTATCTGACGTCTTCAGTTCATCAGTCGGGGTGATATAGAACTGGATAGTCAGGGGGCAATCTAGAGTGATAAATAAAATTTCTCTCTTAAGTGAAGAAAAAAAAAAAAAAAAAAGGATGCATGAACAACTTGTGTTTTCACCTCTTGAGATTATGTACCTTCTTTTCCAGCTATCAGACAACCAATCCTGCCATTGTTAATCATATCCACTTGGGGGTCAGCATCTTTTGGAACCCTGAAAGCAAAAATATAAATTAAAAATAAACCTCTAATGATTCCAATTTGAAACAGGGCTGCAACAAACAATTTTTCTCAATTATTCTGCAGATTACTTTCTCTACCGTTTAGTTCAAGGAATGTCAAAAGATTTGTGCAAAATGCCACACAATATTGTATAATATAATCACAATATCCCAGAACTCAGTGATTTTCTTAAATTGCTGATCCATTTTTTTTTAATATTATATTTCCTTTTGCCAAATCCAATTAATTAACTTATCATAATCATAACAGTATTTGGCCATTTTGTTTTCATGCCACTTACCTTGGCAAATGTGATATTTGCTGCAGGTCTTTCCCGAGGCATTGTAGAGATGCAAACAATTTTAATTTGATTTCACTGAAACCCCCCCCAAAAAAAACACAAATAGCTAAATGACTGGATGAGGCCCACATTAAACAACAAACAATGAATATACAGTATGAAGTGTCTGTACTTGTCTTCAGGGATGTTGTACTGGGCGAAGAGGCCTGCCAACTTCACGGAGAACTCAGCAAACTGTTTTGACCTGTGTCCAAAAAAACCAAACAAAAAAAAATAAAACCTGTACAATCAGCATCTAATCATTTGAATACCACTGTCATCATCATCTCTATAGTTTAGGGCATAGTAGTGCTGCTGCAATGGAAATGTCAACATTTAAAATTTACCATCGCTCTAAAGCTTACCTCAGCAGCTGAAGGAGAGACTCACTGTGCTGCAAGACAATTTCATTTTATTACCACGCAGAGTAAAAGGGCAGTAATGTGATTGGCGCACACTGGGAGAAGGTGTAGTCCACTTACAACAGGGGATTCTCCATGCAGGGCCACTTTTACCTCCTCCACCCCGCCACACGGCAGTAAGACCACCTCCAGGTAGAACAGATCAGCTGTCAGGTAGCATGTGGCCTCAGTGATGTGAAAGCCCATTCTAGGGAGGACAGAATGTGACTAAAGAAAATGTGTCCCACCACATTATATTGAAATAAAAAAAAAGGGTCTGTAATGATGAACTGGACACATTTTTTTTAAAATTAGACCAAAACATAGGGATATCTGGTAGGGCTGTGAGGATAAATCTCTATACCCTTGGCGTTTGGCAATTACTTCCAGACGAGACTTCATGGTATTCATAGAGGAAACTGAAACATACAGAGAATGGCTTACTCACAGGTAAAGGGAAACGCATGTACTAAAATACACAGAATCATTAGTACAATCCTTTACCATTAAACACTTCCTGGAGCCTTTCCAGGGATCTAACCAGCGGCTCACAAGGTTTGGATTCATCTCTGGATTTGTCCTATTAGAGGACAAAGGAAGGGGGGAAAAAAAAAACTAAACAATGGGAGCAGTTGTGTGGCAATGTCATCCTCGTGTAAACAGTCTTTAGTCCTCCCAGCCCATCCCGCAATGCAACACAAACTGCACAAAGAGAAGTGTTAAACAGGGAGGCTGCGACATTTCTGCACATGTGTGAGAGAATACATTGTGTATTGACCTCAGTACTTTGTTTTTTGATAGTCCTCTTCAGAATCACTGCTGGCAGGAAACTGTATGACTAGCCCCATCTGCCTCATCCCTTTGGACCACACATGACTTCAGACCACCAAGTGATCAAGTTTCTTTACCAGACTCAAAGGACTGACCACTGCCAAGCTCCACTTTGTATGAATCCAGGAGTATTATCTACACATGACAAATCTAAATAAAGCAAATGCACCCCCTCAAAGCCTCAGCATACAAGTATAGCAGTGCTGAATACACTGAAGAGCAGCCTTGTTGTTGAGTGTAATAAACATCGATATCTATAAAGCTTTGCATGTTTGGACCCCTAAACCTGTAGCCATATGATATAGCCTACATCTTGAAAATAATAGAGCATAAAAAAGGTCAAATATTGCTAAAGCAAATGACAGAAGCCAGAAGAGAGTGATTGTCTTGTCCAACTGGACCGTAGGAAACATGCTAGAAAAATAAGGTAGCCTAAATATAAAAACAAGGAGCTTTGTTTTGATTGAAAAAGCTTACTACACATACTATGCCATGTGTTGTAGTGAATCCATGTAAGCGGATCCAACAACAAAGAGTGTGTGTTCCAAGATAGATGACCTCATTCTCGGTTAACCACCACACCAGTTACTGATTAACAGCACATCATCATATTAGATAAGCCATCGGGGGGGCATGCTTCCATTTACGCCTGCCAATGGGAATTTTGTGTGATATCTCAACCATTTGTACTGTGGTATTTAAGCAGGGAGTTAAAATTAACTTGCTCATGAATGTCAAAAGAGTAATGAGATTTGTCTTCCCATGCATCTTCGGACAAGCTGAAAGGTCTCATTCCATGTCTTCTCTGCAAATTTCAGGTGCAGGTCAGCGACGGATTTTGCCTTCATCACTAAAGGCAAACAAGAGATAAAAATATGAAAACTTTACATTTTAGATTTTCCTTTAAATTTGTAATTACCTTGTATCTCAGATTTTAAAGTATATATTTGCAGTAGTCAAGCATTTTGTAACTTACAAATATATAGTTACTTGTGTGTTCAGATTTAATAGAAAAAAAACAACTTTAAATCAACATTACCTGACTTCTGAAACTCTATTTCACTCTTGCTGACTTGACAAGACTCCTTCCTGACCAAACGTGCCAACATTTATACAGATTAACGTGAGCCAATTAATCAATTATCTGGCACAGGCAAGAGACGCTGCCTTTAATCTGTATTTTATTTTCAACACACGAAGCAAATGATGCAAATAACTAAAATGTAGGCGATATTTTTTATTAGCGAGAGATGAATGTTCCACTCAAACAAAAAGTAAAGCTGAGTTATCTAGTTCTCCCAGGCGGGCGGGCGTTGTCAGACGGAGCCAAGCCCACAGGACGTGCAGTCAGTCTGCTGCTAACAGCAACCAGCCAAGTCTCTGGAGTTAGCTAGGGAGCTAGCCATGAGCTAACAAGCAGCTAGCTGAGTCTTTTCATGTTGCCACCATAATTCAACCTTCAGTCAAACGCCGTACCAAGGTGAATACTGTTCAATTTACCGGTAGGTGATGTTATTCACACGCACGGCGTTCTTGTGAATGTTTCTGCTGCTCATGTTTGGGCTCTTTTGTTGTTGTTTTTTTACGCTACATCATCTAAGTGTTAGTTGTGATTAGCTGCTTGTTATCGCTTGCTAGCCCCCCCCTTTTTTTTTGGCTGTGTGGCCACCCTTAGCTGGCTAGCGAGGAAGCTGCTGAGTTTGAAAGGATCGACCGGAACATCTGTTGCTGGGTATCCGATTTTAAGGATTTGTCTTTTATGCGTTATCTGAGCTGATACCTTTCATCTTGAACTTTCTCAAATATTAATTAACGGCCAGGTGACATTAACTTGCTTGGTAGGTTAGTTAGCTTGTTAGCCACATCGCCCACTGTAATCAACCTGCTAGCTAGTTTACCTGCAGTTGACTTGTCACCAGCTAACTTGCTAATAAGTAAACATGATTGTTAGTGTGCTGCGTATCGTTATTTGTGAATTCAACCGTCTGCTGTTGTAATAATCCGGTAAAATTGTCTCCTGCTCAGCTAACAGTGTATATATCATCTTATTGTATTATAGACGTGTCAGCGTTATTAATGTAATTGAGCAGCCAATGTCACAATCTGCTGACAAATTCTTTGAGCAGGTATGATCGATGACACACCTGATTATGAGGTCATCACTGAAACATTAATACCTCGTCTTGTTGTTGTATTTCTATTAGTTTTTCTGGTATCTTGATCGCATAACTTTATTTAGAAATGGTTACCTTGTAATATTTGGATATATATGGGTAAACATAGGGCTGGGCAGTAAAACAGTAATGATAAACATCGTGATGTAATTCTCAATAACAATATAACAATTGTTTAATAAATGTTTGCTTTAAATTTGAATCGCGAACACATTAGCACTTAATGTTTCTATTAAGGTATTCATTTTTTGTGAGGTAAAGGAGCTGAAAACAGATTTTTACCTAATTTTACTAATGTGTATTTGCTGGAAAAATTTATCATAATTGTTTTGAATGTTCTACCTCCAGAGACCTTAAGTGATCTATTGTTTGGCAAGTGTTATGACTCTAAAGAAAAATTTAAAACCACAATTAACCATCTGGTTTCTTCAACTTTCACTCAGGAGCAAACATTTGCCTTTTAAACTTGAAAGAAATAATGATTTGACATTTATTGTCATCATTATTGAAATCGAATGATATAGAATTTGTTTTTTATTGTGATAACATTTTTGGCTATATTGCCCAGTCCTAGGTTAACATAATCTTTCCCTAAAACTGTTCAAGAGACATAATTCCTCACTATGGGGGTTTAAATGATTAAGGTAAAAGCATCAGTACTCAATCGTAAAATTGGCTTTCAGTACATGGACGCCTTTTTGTTAATTTGTAAAATGACCTATTGGCTGCATTCCCATCTGTTTTCTCTCTGATTCTCCAGAGGTCTATATTGGGCCTGTGATAGGAAAGAGCATTAACACACTTCAGGAGATCATGGTATTCCCATAGTCTTCTTGGACTGTCCAGTGTGGGAAACTGACCACTAAATCGCTTTGGCATGTGTGTCAGATTTTATCCAGTCCTGTCAAAGTTTGGAAAATACAGCCAGATGTTACCCAGAAGCTTTTAAAATGTTATATTTCATTGCTAGATGGCTTTCACAGGTTCCTCTTGGATAAGTGGAAACTGCCTGATGTTTGTCACGATGTGCGGTGGTTAATGTCATTAAAGGATGCCACAAGCAGTATTTTCCCACAGGTTATTTGTGGTTGTCTGACATCCAGTAGCATTGCATTCACAAGGAAGCTCCTGATTTGGCATTTTTGCTGATCTGTAAAGTTGACTGCGAGTTCACCTTTCTGGCAGACCTTATTTCCTCTTCACATTTCATCCATGCAAAAGTCTGAAAGGAATAAATTACAAATAAAGAAGTACAAAATATTCTTTTTGTTCTGATCAGACAATAGATAATTTCCATATGTTGTGTGGGGGGAAAAGCTGCCATGACTAGGCTATAATTTTCCAGTAATTCAGTCAATTTCTATGACTATTTTGTGATTGCAAAGAAAACACAATGTAAACTAAAACTACCTGAAGAGAAACTGATCTTTCTGCTGCCACATAGCTGCAGGGAGGTGCGCTAATAAAAAATACTGATTATAAAGCAAGTTTCTAATGCATCAGTCTAGTACCAGTGGTCATAACCACATTTTATCCTGCCATAGTTTTAACCAGGTACAGAGAATAATCCTCTGCATGTCATTTGTAGTGTAATGGCAGTTTCTCCTGGTGCGATAGAGTGTAGAGCCTCGGAAATGATGATGAAACATCTTAGCTTTTCATCTGTTTTTGTTTTGTTTTTTTTCCTCCCCAGGAATTATCATTCAGCCCTTTTGTTGCAGCTGGAATCGTCGGGGTTGATTTTTACGGTCTTCGTTTCACAGTCCATCCCTCCACCTCCAGCTCCACGTTGAACTTTCTCCCTTTTACACCCGGATCTCTCGGTACACAGAGCCATGGCAGCTGCTAAGCCAAAAGGGCAGAACTCTTTAGCTCTTCACAAAGTGATTATGGTGGGCAGTGGAGGAGTGGGGAAATCAGCGCTGACTCTTCAGTTCATGTATGACGAGGTGAGCAACCTAAATCACAGCAGTCAAGTAAAAATCAAATGTGGTTGGATAGATTCTCTTTGTTGGCCTTAATGGATGACCAGTTTGACCGCAGTTGTTAACGTGACCTTTACTCCCCCCCCCCATAGTTTGTTGAAGACTATGAGCCCACTAAAGCAGACAGTTACAGGAAGAAAGTGGTGCTGGATGGAGAGGAGGTACAGATTGACATCCTTGACACAGCTGGACAAGAGGACTATGCAGCCATTCGTGATAACTACTTCCGCAGTGGCGAGGGTTTCCTCTGTGTGTTTTCCATCACAGAACTGGAATCATTTGCAGCAACAGTAGACTTCAGGTTCAGTAGCATTTTAATGAGACAGTTTTGTGTCCATTACAATACTTATTGACAGTAACCATTAGGTAATTTCCCCCTGCTGAAATGCATAAACATGTATGCTGACATTTTGCAACATCATTAAAATGAGCTGTGTTTGGTTTTACCTCATTCACATTACACTCTAGGCTAGCAAGCAGTAGTCTGTTTATTTACATAATTCATGGCTGACTGACATTTCCTGTTTTACAGAGAGCAGATTCTGCGAGTGAAGGAGGATGAAAATGTGCCCTTTCTCCTGGTTGGTAACAAGTCAGACTTGGACGACCGACGGCAGGTCAGCGCTGACGAGGCGAAGGCACGTGCTGAGCAGTGGGGCGTGTGCTATGTGGAGACTTCAGCCAAAACCCGTGCCAATGTTGACAAGGTGTGTTTGAATATGCCTAAAGATGGGAATCCCTGGCTAAAATACATTTAAATCATTGATATTGAGCAAACAGAGGAACCTGAACCCTACAATTTCATTATCTTGCTTGTTTTTAACAGGTGTTTTTTGACCTGATGAGAGAGATCCGGGCAAGGAAAATGGAGGACAGCAAAGAGAAGAACGGAAAGAAGAAAAGTAAAAGTTTGGCCAAGAGAATTAGAGAGAGATGCTGTATTTTATAGTGGTAAAAGAGAGCAGGGTAGCTGCTTGTGTACATATACATTTCTCAGACTTTTGCATTTCTTTTGTGCCCATACCCCTGACCATGACTTTCTGTCCCTGGCTAACAGGACATCTGACCGTGTGTCGGGGAGTAGTAAGGTGGCACTCCATACACCATTTATAGCTCTAACTTTTTATGTGCTGACACTCCAAATAATTTCTGTACTCTCTCTCTCTGTCTCTCTCTTACTCTGACCACATTACAGAGTGTAATACATGGATGGTGTTTTAATTTAGGCCTAAGCTTGACAAAAAGGGTAAGCCCTGAAAGGGTTACAAAACCTTTCATTGTAAAGTTTGATGTGTATAATATTATTCAGACAACTGTGCAGTTCAAAAGATAAAATGAAGGTGACGGAGCCCAGGTTTAAATGGGGGATGTAAGTTGAGCTTGGGTAGGAAATGTAGGTTAACATACTCAGCAGTGTAGTGTCAACCCAGAATTCATCAAGTGCCACCAAGGAAATGTACATTGCACTGGTGAATCTATGAAGCATTTTAATTGAAAGATTGTTGCGCACGTCGGAGCCAAAATTTGATGCCATTCCTATTTGTTTGTTTTACACCTCAATTTTACTACGTGGTATGGTTATGAACACTTCTCTTTAAATCCTTTTTTTTTTTTTTTTTTTTTTAAATCTGTGAAATCAAACTTTTTTTTTTCCTTTCTTTTTGTCTCCTCTTGTTATATCAACCAATGTAAGATAAGCGCACTAATGACTAATGTTTCCATTTTCTTTCCCCTTGGTATCATTTTGTTCAATCTTCTCAAATGCACAAACATTGATCATTGCCCTTGAATCTGTGAGGGAGGGTTTTTTTTTTTTTTCTTGTTCGCTTTTTTTTTTTTTTTTAATATATTTTCAATTCAAACATTTCAGAAGTTTTACCTCACTACTTCTTTTGCGATAAAGGAATCCCTGGTGCTCTGATAAACGGCGATTCCATAACACTACGTCCTTTTACATGCTGTCTTGAACACATCTTAAAGATGATTAAATAAATTGCTTCCAGCCACGTAAACGTTTCTCTAACCCAACCTTAATTTTCCTGGCTCAGACTTTTAATCACCAACCTTGTGGGGTTGTTTTTTTTTTTTTTTTTTTTTTTACTTAAATGTATTTCTTAATATGGACTTAAAAGTATGTGAAAATAAATTAATGGATAGATGAATTTAAAGGCATAAAATATTAAAAATGAATGCAGATTTGATAGAAGTACCTCTCCAAAAAAATTGCTCTCAGTCACCAAAGAAAAATGCTAGCTAGTACAAACAAGTGCCCACTTAGTGATCTAAGTGAATGACAACTTGCTATAGTGAGCATCAAAAGTAAGCACTGCAGTGTATATTTGTGTGTGTAAAACAACTATCCTTATGGATCTGATGGAGGCAAAAGTTGAAGGAAAGAATTTTATCCTGAAGGGCCTGGGAAAGGAATGCAAGTTTAGGAGGGATTTAGTCATTCGTGTACAGTGCATCACTGTTGCCTCTGTCCATTGTGAATGTGAAATAGTCCCCCATACGCATCCTGTTAGCCTGTAATCTTAGGCGGCTAATGATGTGCAGAGTTTAGAGGGTCATTGACATTCTGTTTTGTTTAACTTTTTTTTTTTTTTTTTTTTTTAAATTTCTGTGTGAGGCTACCTGGTGTTATAATGCTGTAGTTACATCTTAATGAAATACCTGATATGTTCATTTGAGCTTGCTTATGTAGTAATTGTTTTACAGATGAATGAAGATGAAAATTGGCAAAATGAAATTGCTACACATGATTAACAGCTAAATTGCATAGACCAAAACACACTGTGAAATCTGCCCCTTCATTATCTTAGTTTCCCTTTGTGACTGAGCCACTCTTTATTTTTTTTGATGATGTGTTTAACTTATTTAAAATAACTTATTGTATCATTTTCAGTCAGTTTAAAAATCTGAAGACCATCCAGAAGTTGTTGCCACATATCACTCTGATCCAGTTTAAGTGTGTGCATTGCAAACAGCAGCCGCCCACCAATTACATTTAGATGCCCCAACGCTGGAGTCTATGCAAAAATGATTGTGATTTGCAAAGAGGAAGAAAATCTGACATTGTCTGTGTCTTTAAACTACCTTCAGTGAGACTGATTGCAGTTGAAGCATTTAAGCTTGAATGCCCAACACCATTTAAAACTTGTGAAGCATTTTATATTTCAAAGTACTTAACATTGACTCACTTTTTCCTCTGAGTTAATAAATAAACACTAAAGAATCCCTGGCTTCGATTACAGGCTTTGTTTGTCATATAGTTTGGTGTGTTCATTATACAAAAAAAAGACAGTAATGCAAAAGAATGTCTGCTATATTTCTTGTTAACTAAAAAAAAAAGCACACAGTAGAGTGGGTTTAAAGATGGGAGGGTGAGGTGGGACGTGAGGCAAACTCGAACCCAATGTTAGGATGCCATGGCATCAGAATGTTTGGAAAGTCGTTTGGGTTAATATGTAAGGGCTAACCTCAAGTACATGATTGAAACACCCCTACAAGTTAAAGTGACAGGCGCAGAAACTGATGCACAGTGTAAGCACCACAGTATGTTACTGCATACCCTCCTTAGCTTATGGCCATTACATTAACTGCTGTGTCTCTTCATGGTCAAAGACTGCAGAAGCTACTATACTTAAAAGTGACTACCACAGTGCTTGCTTACTCTAACATTGGCTGAACACAGTCTAATTCTTGTTTTAGTTTTTTTGTTTATTTTATTTTTTTCAGAAGCAAACATTATTCAGAATTATTCTACTACTTTGTCTTCATGTGTAGATTTGATGGACTTGGCCCAGATATTTTCAGCAGGATTGAAGGGGCGATACTAAAACAGATGTTTGTGTGAAAGCTATGAGCAAACTGTCCTACTGGATATTGAAATAACTTGTTTTGCCTTTTTATATAAATACCCTTGGAAAAAAAAATAGATATCTACATATTTGATTGGATGGTTGTATGTATGCCATCAATTAATTGTTTTCATGTTTACTTATTTTGAACATAACCACTAATGTAGCCTGTTTGTGAATGCAAGAGGTGAAGCTTACATTCATTTTTGTGTGAGTTATTTGGAAATGGCAAATAAAGTTGATATTACTAATAACATTTTCCAAATGTATTCAGATATTCTTTGTGTGACGATTTATGTCTCAAGTTAAGTTATTACACCAAGCAGACAGATTGATCAGCAAAAGGAAGCTTCCTCTGGGAGTTTGCATGTTTTGCTGCTCATATATCCCTGAACATGCTGAATCCCGCCATCTGCAGACCCTGACCTTTCTAAATGGCAGATTAGCCATCAAGTCCACCTGATCGTGATTTAGTATGACATAGAAGCATGACCACACAACTTATTTTGTAGTGCGACTGCTTTTGATCATCAGAAGCTGAATGTCAAGAATTTTATTCCAATATTTATACTCTCCAACAGTAAATTATCTAATATCTTTTAACTTTAAGGCACTAAATTGTTCTTGTTACAGTATAATGTGTGTGCAAGCACAGATGGCTTGGTACAGCCCATATCTCTGTGTTTACACAATAAACCTGATTCTCAGTGCTGCAAATTTGGTCCTGCTAATGGACAGGGACAAAGCAAAGTATTGATTCACCATAGCAATAGACATGGATATATTGCAGTTGCGGTATGATGTTGTAACTGTAACTGTTGAATATTTTAAAAAATAGCATTTAGTGTCAATTTGCAGTCATTCCAGTTCATGAACATAACATGATAGAAAAAAATAAAGTAGAAACAGAGATGGATAAATAAAGAAGTGACAGAAGGTGTCCTTTAGGTAAATCGTACTCATTATATATTAGTTATTGAAAATCTTTTCTTATTTGTCACAAGTTTGAGGGACTCAAAGTACATGTCAATTTCTTAGTTAGCCTATATTTTGAAGGTAGGGGTTTCCCTCTGAGGTGACGTAACCACTTATCAGGATTACGCAGACGCGTATCATTGGTTCACGCCGACGCACAAGGCCTGTAGTTTGAAAGCTCTGTGGGCCCAGGCGAGTAGCCACATTGCGAACAAAGTTACAATATTTTGAAATAAATTAATAGATTAGTGGAGCCCTTTTGCCCGGAAAGACGTTTGCTACTTTGTGGTCATGCGGTGATAAGAGCCGGCAGCAACTCGGCAGGATCCGTGAAAGCAGACGTGTTTTTGAACAGCTTTGTTTTATTGCATCTTGACTGAGTTGCATTGAACTCCACGCAAGGAGAAAAGAGGGCTAGCTGGCTCAGTGGCTAGCGGCGGCGGCTATATGTCTATGATCCAGCCAACTCGTGTGCTATTCACTTCCTTGTTGCACATTGGAGTGTGATGGAAGGCGAGAAGTTTGCGAGAGGGAGACCGGTTTCTTTTACTTCTACTTTAACACTATCTGGTTAATGGATTTACACGCCCGCACGAACTGCAACATTTCAGAAGGACTGGATTTTAATTGTAATGGCTTCGGGCCTGTGCTTAGACTGTGAAATGTAATGCGACTGTCTAGCCGGACACAGTTAGCTACTGGAGGCTAACTGGCTAAACCGACTACCATTAGCTAGCAGATCTGGGAGATCTCCGTCCTGGAGTAACAATGGTTGAGTACCGACTGGTTCTATAACTAAACATCATATTGCGGATTTTGTGTGACCGAATCTGCAGGCATCAAGTGTCATGAATTACCGTCTGGTGTAACTCACTTTTTATAGAACCGCAAACGAGCTAGCTTTGTAATGCTAATGTTAAGCTTGTGATTTAGCTAGCCAGCTAGCTGGCTGTCTAATTGTGCATTTGCTGAAACGTTAGCTAATTAGCCTGTTAACACAGCTAGCCCAATGTTTTGTTCCACAACACAACAAGGAAAATAGCTTAGGTAAAGTATATAATATAAAGATTATTCTCAACGTGGCTATAGCGTTTATTTTGTAGATAAATGCCTAATTCGGAGGTGCTTCGCGAGGGTCGGGGACGGAGCCCCTCTGCACAGAGAAATGCTAACAGGCAGGACAGGCGTAGTAAACCGGGGAGCGGTGCTGCTCAGCGAGATAGACACCGTGAGAAGAGGCGGTCATCGGTTTCTAGGAGAAAGAAACGCAGACAGGGCAAGGAAAGAGACTTGTGTCATACTGGTACAACAGGAGAGCCTGGCAATAACCGAAAAAGCACTTTTGAAAAAGAGGCTGAACTTCGGACACTGGTAGAGTATGATGACGTGAGCTCCCAGTCGGAGCGGTTTTCTGGGAGCCCCTCTCCTAAACTTGACCCCCATGCTGACAGGCTGTCAGTGGACCGACTCAGCGATGTTGACTTTGGTGACTATAATGGACCAGCATCCCCAGACAGAAGTCACCCGAGAGACCGGGAGGGAGTGTGCATTAGCAAGGACGATCAAACAAGGGGACCATCTGAGAGGAGCAAGCAAGAGAAGGAGGTAGGCAAGAAAAAGGACCGCCAGAGTCGTGAGAGAGACTCGTCAAAAGGTAGAAGCGGAAGTAGCCTTAGTGGCTCTAAAAATCACAGAGACGCTACAAGGAGCAGTGACAGAAATGGTAAAAGGACATCTACATCCCAGTCCTCACAGTCTGCAGATAAAAGGGATTCAAAAGGACACAGAAGCAAAACAAGATCTGATAAAGAGCCTCCATCTGCATACAGAGATGCTCCACAATCTTACAGAGATGACCGTGAAGACCTCAGGGGTTACAGGAGAAGTCCTGGTTTGAAAGGAGAAAGTCCCTATGGGACATCATATTCATATAGCTACCAGTCTCCTGGTGGTTATAACCAGCTAATATCTAGAAGAAGTCCAACTTATGGGAGCAAAAGACTCTCTCCCAGTTCCACATATTACAGCCGGGATGTAGATGTGTATGGGTCATACGGTATGCCAAAATCACCCAGTTCATACTCCGGCAACAAAAGGAAGCGATCCCCTGTGAGCCCAGCGACCTGGCGCAGGTCCCCAAGTTATGGCCGACACAGTCCATATGAACAAGGAGAGTTTGGCTCAAGCCCCTATGGAAACCGCAGGAGATCACGAAGTCCATACAGAAAGTCCCTGAGCCCAAGTCCAGATGTCAGGTGAGTTTTTATAAAGCAGCTAATAGGTTGATGTATGTTTTCATTTGTACGCTGTAGTCTGTGTATTTGTGGAGTAAATTTTTATGATGGTTTATAATAAGCAAGCCCTGCTTCAGATTTGAGGCGATTTTCCTCTTGATGAAATATTAACAGAAACCTAGCGCTACCAATTTTCTGTTTAACTTGTCGGGCACTGATTCTTCACATGAATTTTAGATTTTTACAGATGTAAATAAATATGCAACCCAAACAAATACAAGGTTGTGACCTGGGTGCATAATTAACATTTTGTCCACCAGCCACTCAATAGATTACCATTGTTTTTTTTGGCTGGTGATGAAGTAAATCTACCTGCCATTTACATATTTTACCAGCGTTTTATCTGGTGCTAATTTTGGACCCTGGTTGTGACATTGTTTATTGTAGCCCCTTTCTTTCTTTCAATATTTGCTGTCGTGCCTATGCCTTTCCAAAAGCCTTTAACCAGACTATCTATTGAACGAGAACAAAAGTCCTGCATGTGATGTTATGCAACTTGTAGAATGTGAGTAATAGCTTGATTTCTACATTTTTATTAATGGCACAGCGTTCTTAAAATTTAGATAACAATAGATTTTTTTTTTTTATCTCACGCAAGTAAACTGTCGCCTGAAGTCTATAATAGCAAAACAAAATAAAAAGTTCACCATGTCATTTTCCTTCCAGGCGATCTGCTAGGTCACGTAGCAGAAGTCCATATTCATCCTCAAGGCATTCACGTTCTCGCAGCCGTCACCGGCACTCTCGCTCCCGCAGTCGCCCCTCTAGTCTCTCACCAAGCACCCTCACCTTCAAAACCAGTCTTGCTGCTGAACTCAGTAAGCAGAAAAAGGCTAAAGCCGCAGAAGCGGCTGCCAAGGCCAAGAACTCCAGCAACACATCTACTCCAACCAAGGGTTCGTCATCTGCTCACCAGCCCAGCCCGAAGGCCAATCACTCATCCAGAAAGGGCCGCCCTCCCTCTCCACCCCAACCCGAGAAAGGTCCCAGAACTCCCACATCGAACCAGCCTCAGTCTCCCCCTGACCGGTCGTCCAAGAGGACCACTGACCAGCAGACCAGCAGGGACAGAGATGGAAGGGGGAAAGATGACTCTGTACATCGGGACAAAAGGAAAGCACCAGCATCTGGACCGAGCAAAGACAAGGAACGAGCCCTTGGTCCACTCATCTCTACCCTAACATCCCTACCATTGCCCCAAGCAGTTCTTGAGCACATGGATAAAGGAGAAAGGTATGGACGTGTTGTTGTGCCAGTTGAACTAGAATTTTTATGCACCTCTTTTATACTTGATTGTCAAGACTTACTCTCACTCTCCCTGTATCTCCTGCATTTTCTCCTATCAGCTTGAAGGACAGCTCGCTCTCAGGGAAGAAAAAGTCAGAGAGAAAGGCCCGTCAGCTTCTTACCGATTTGCCTCTGCCTCCTGAGCTTCCTGGTGGCATGTCTTCCCCACACAGCCCGCCTGAAGACAAAAAGTCCCAAACACTTCGCCGAAGACCTAAGTATGTTACAGTGCATTTAGTGGTATACAGTCTTTTCTTCAGCTATTCTTTGTTGTATATTTACTTTGCTTCTGCTGAAATATGTCGTTTGTCAAACCCAGAATTTGTGGCCCAAGATACGGTGAGATTAAGGAAACTGAGATAGATTGGGGCAAACGCTGTGTGGACAAGTTTGAGATCATCGGAATCACAGGAGAAGGCACCTACGGTCAGGTGTACAAGGCAAAAGACAAAGACACTGGTGAGTGTTTTGGAAAATACACGTTCATTCGTAACTCCTCATCAACCGTGTAAACATCGATCTATTTTCAATGTTCTTTAGAGGTGAAATAAAGGTTGGTGATTATTATAATCAGGTCAAGTTCTGTTGGAAATGCAAGCTGACACGGCCATAGATAAGAATCTGTTTAGGGTGAGACCAGCTGGTGAAACGCGGTTCTTTCTTCATAGCTGAAATGGTGGCTTTGAAGAAAGTTCGACTG